CACGACCTCAAGGTTAAGTCGTTTCTATTATTAGATAAATTTATTTAAATATCGTAAATTAAATACATATTTTTTATCAATTTTTTCTATATAATTTACTTATTTAGTATTATATATATATACAGTGAGATGAGTCACTATATCCCTTAAGCAAGGTTAGGAGTTTGAATCCTAACGATTGAGAATAAAGCTAACTAGGTTGGGATGATAGCTCTTGCCTTTACAATACTCGATTCGAATTAGTTGATCAATAGATCAGATACCGATGGTTATAAAAAAATATATATTATTTTTATTTTTTATGACAAGGGCACTCTATTGTGTCCAACCACCAAAGAAAAACAATTGCTTCGGACTCCCTTCTCTTTTTGTCCACTCTTGAATAATTTCACCCTAATCATCCTCACCTAATGGCTAATATGGCCCCCTCCATTAAAGCCACTTTGTTTTAATTTTCCCTAATTATGTTGTTTGGTGTTTGTGAGAGAAAAAAAGTTAAATAATATTTAATTGTAGAGTTAATTGCATCACACGTCCTCGATCTATGATCCTCATTTCAAATTAGTACCTAAACTTTTAAATATTTCAATTTCATCCCTAAACTATTACTATCATTTTAAATTAATCCTCAGACTTTTAACATTTCATTTTCATCCCCAAACTATGATCTTCATTCTAAATTAATCCCCAAACTTTTTGAACATTTCAATTTAATCCTAAATTATATGTATATTCTAATCACATCCCTTATTAATAAAATCGTTAGACCAAGTTATATTATTATATGTTTGAGAAAAAAAGGGGTTAAATTATGGTTAAAATAGATTAGATATTTGGATGAATTTGAGGATAAAATTGGAAGATGCAAAAGTTTAGGGACCAATTTACAATAATATTGATAGAATATGGTTTCAGAATATTATTTGATCACAAGTTTTTAACAAAGATTTAAATGATATAATATTGTAATTAGAGATGTAATTATTGTCCGATTAGATATAAATCTTATATTTAATATATTAGTTTCTTTTTGTTTATAAAAACTACTTTAAAAAAGAGAGCCTTACAAACAAAGAAGGATTTTAGAATCTCGTGTTTAGGGATGAGCATGAGCCGCGTCAGGTTGACCAAATACTCGACGTGACCTGAAAATATATATTATCTATTTAAAATATGATATGATTCGATTTAAGAATGATTTTATCCCATCCAAATTTGACTCAATTTGTTGAGATAAAACCCGATCTTGATCTCGACCAGCCTCAAAATAAATATGTTTATAAAAGTCTCTGTATGTCATTTTTCTATAATATATAATTTTTTTGAAACAATATAAACATAATTAAACATGTAAAAATAATTTCAACTAAAGTGATTTTAGACATGACTTATATGTGACAAGGTTTAAGACAGATATAATTTAGATAAAATATCGGATAAAGTACACAAATGGTCCCTCGATTATGGAATGATGTTATATTAAGTCTCTCAACTATTAAAAATTTTAAAATGACCCTTTGACTATAGGATGCTACTTTTTTTAATCCATCAATTATTAAAGGTTACAAAAGAGTTACTCAACCATTTCATATGTTCCAAACTCGTTCTTTTCCATTAAAAATTTGACGATAATCTGAGTTAGACATTAACATGTTGATTATGATATGATAGTTGTTTGAGATTTTGGGATAAGATTTTATCACATCTCGATCAACAAATTAACGTCAAACTTAAAATGCCATCATTTTTAACGACAAAGGACAAATTTGAAACATATGAAATAGTCAGGTGACCGTTTTATAACTTTTAATAGTCGAGAGACTTAATAAACCACCATCCTATAGTCAGGGGACCATTTATACACTTTATCCTAAAATTTACACATAATTTTATAAAATTAAATTCGAGTTTGATCACTAAAAAAGAATCTACAGTTTCTTTGAATATTTACAAAAGAGTTATGGTTGTTCAAATGGGTATTTATGATTTTAGGAAGTGAACCAAACGTGACAAAATTAAACACTTGCCAATTTGGTTGAATGTTTTTCTACTTTTTCTATGTGCAGTTCATGTTCATGACGTTTTGTTTACGTTTAACATTTAAAAGGCTAGGAAGTTTTGTCCGAAAGCAAGAAGGATTGGTGAGATTTATACCCTATAGTAAGTAATGGGATTGAAGAATTAATATCATTTTCTTTATGAAAATCTTGACTATAAATAGTCATGGGTCGGGTTAGATTTTTCATCGATGTAAATTTGATCAGGGTATTATATTTCTTTCTCGGTACTTGATTTGTTTCGAGTTTAGTAAAGTTTCATTCAATCTGGATTCTAGGGCAAAAACCCTCATTCAGTTCAAACTTAATATAAAAGTCATCATTTTTTCGATAAAATAAAGACTTAATTAAATGCATAATGAGAGATAAAAGTACTATTATAACAATTATCTTGAATACATAGAGAAAATTATATTATTTTTTGGGTCTAATACTTTTTCTAAACATGAATTTGACTCAACCTCGTAACTTTCAAACTCGACCAACCCGAACTTAATTTTAGAAGACGATCATATTACTTTTGACGACAATTAAAGGGTGGGAGGATGTTTAGTTTGAAACTGATTCGTTGATTCTTGCTCGCAAGATTACCCGACTTCTGACGATATTTTCACTCCTGGTGTCTTTGTTCAAGAAGCTCGTGCTATTTTTCAGTCTCGGCTTAGGTTCCATATTACTTTTGCCCACGTTTTTGTAAAGCTATTGCTCATAAGTTAGCTGGTTGGCCCCTTAGGTTTGGTGGCTCTTTGTTTTTCTGAATCGGTTTGTTCCGATATCATTTCCAGTGACAATATGGTTGATGTACTTAATTCTTGATTTAGGGTAGTTAAGCACTCTTACTCTTTATTAGGTTTAAAAGAGTTTTTTTTAACGAGGCTCATTAATGATTTAAAAAAAATCATATAAGATTAGATTATATCAAAATCCGTTAATTTATATCTCTAAACCACACATATTAAAATTGTCTAAATTAAAAAATTAGTGAATGATGTATCAAATGATTATTCTAAAACTTAACAAAATGAATTAACTTCTTAGGATTAGAATATATAACAGTAGGATGGCAACCGGGTTGAGTTATGATTAGATTTTTTTGTCAATTCGACCCGACTCAAAAATTTTATATCTTATATCTTATCCGACACGACCCGAAGAATATCTTATCCTTTAGTTCTTCCTCTTGGCCTTGGGCTGATTGGTCTTCGTTTTGACAGTCTTTGAATTCCATTTCTTCTTCTTGTTGTTGGTGGTGATGATTCTCCAGTTTCCTTTGCTTTCTTCTCTGTATCCATTGAAGCTAGAATTCTGTGTCTCTGCGACACAATATTTGAACGAAAATCAAACACTGAAAACGCAGAGAGAAGACAGAGGAGAGTAGTTGAAGAATGGTATTATTATTTTTTGAATGAAGAAGGGTATTAAATGCTGGCAAAAGAGGTAAGCTCTGCTTACCAAAAATATATATATATGGCTAAACTACACATTTAATAACTAAATTATCAATTTTAATTCGTTTTAATATCTAAACTTTTAATTGTTTCAAACTCATACATAATATTTAGCTTTTATTTCATTTCAGTACCAATCATTAAAATCTTAAGTCGTTTCGTATCTAACTATCAGTTTTGGTCTGTATTAGTAACGAACATTCACTTTTTTTTAAAACTTAAAATTAAATTTTGAACGAATACTAAAATAAAACAAAAACTAGAATTTTTAATAACAGGGTACTAAAATGAAATAAAAACTAAACTTTATGTATGATTTTAAAAAGATTATAAATTTAAATACTAAAACTGATAATTTAAGCACTAAACACATAAGTTATCCATATATTTATATTTAAATGGACATTTTTACCATTAATTATTTAATATTTATACAATTTTCACTAAAATTACTGAACTGTTCCAAAATTGTCATTGCAATGTTATAATAATGTCAAACTTCAATAAATTTAATAATTATTTCATAACAATTTGATAAGATTTAATATTTATTTATATAAATTTAATAATCATTTTTGTAATTTTTAAAAATTCAATAATCAAAATAATCAATTGAATAAAATTTAATGAAGTTCGATGTATTTTATGTGAAAATTAGAGTAAATTGTGTTTATTGTCTAAACTATCAATTTTAATCCATTTTAGTACATAAACTTTTAATTTTTTTTTCAAAATCATACCTAAAATTTAATTTTTTTCATTTTGGTACCCATATTCAAAATTTATCGTTAAAATTTTGAAAATGATTGAAACTTTAATTACTAAAACAAACTAAATCTGATAGTTTAAATACTAAACACATCAAATTTTTAACAATAGGTACTAAAATAAAACAAAAAGTTAACGTTAAATATAATTTTTAAAAAATAAAAAATTTAAATACTAAAATAGACTAAAACTAATAGTTTAGATACTAAATGCATGATCTACCATAAAAATTAATGGTACGGATTATTTTGGTTAGTGGGATAAAAGTGTCATTCTATACCACTAAGAAATTGAAAATTGAATGAAAAATAGAACAAAGTAAATTGAAAAATCGTCCTCAACAATTATACCAAAAGAAACTATCAAATTAATGTACCCCATTAAACGACAACTTCAAGTATCATATTAGATTAAAGGGTGAATTACACATTTAGTACCTAAACTATCAACTTAAGTCCATTTTAATACCTAAACTTTCAATTTTTTCAAAATCATACCTAAAGTTTAATTTTTATTTCATTCAAGTACCCTCTCAAAATTTAACGTTAAATTTTAAAAAATTAAAAGTTTAAGTACTAAAAACGGACCAAAATTAATAGTTTAGACACTAAACACGTTAAGTTTTTAACGGTAGGGTACTAAAATGGAACAAAAACTAAAAATTAGGTATGATTTTGAAAAAATTGAAAATTTAAGTACTAAAACAGACCAAAACTAATAGTTTAGGTACTAAATGTGTAGTTTACCCTAGATTAAAAATACACCTCTCAATTCTTGTGGCAAAGAGACGACACATTATTCCTCATTTTTCACTTTCTTCCTTGATTTACCTTTATGAGAATGATCCAAGGACCCAGTTGATTCCTGGGCATTTCTATGCTTCGAAGACCCTGAAACCGGAGTCGTCTCGTGACTCTGTGTCGGTTGGTTCATCAATCCTATAGATTCGCGATCGTGCTTTCTTTTCGAAGGATTAGATAGTTCATTCATTCCGGAGAAAGTACTCTTTTGCCGACTACCGTGGGTGCTGACGGTACGCCCCATCGACTGTGAACTTTTCCTCCCTTTACTTTGCATCGGAGTTACAAAGGGATTGGAAGAATCAGTCATCCCAGAGGATCTTTGATGTATCAGTTTCTTCTCAGAACTGAGCATTTCATATTCTTCGGGAGTCGTATAATGTACGAGGGAAACTCGACGTGAAATCTTCCCAACTATCAAAAAAGAAATCGGTATCAGGGAACTGCACAAATTCATTTGCAATATAAAACTGAACTCAAAGTTTGGTTGTGCCCGGCCGAATTCCTAACAGTTTCTATAACATAGAAAACATAAGATCACGGTAAATAAACAGACCTACGTGGTAGAGGTTTATTTGGTGAAATCGAGCAAAGGATCAGTGTCGAATAGCAAAGAATAAATATAATAAAAACATGTTCAAGATCTATACATGATGTCTACAATGTCAACCATTCTCAAAACGATGCCTCTAGTTACATCAAAACACTTCAATATATTATCAGCCTCGTAAATCGAGTGAATACAAACACTTAGATGTGCAACAATGTCTGATGATGTTAAAAAACCAGTTTGCTAGCTAACAATAGGCGGAAATCTGATCAATCCTAACAAACATACAAGAATGCCAAAGTGGTTCCATCAGTCCAGAAATCCAAACCAAGTGTCGGATTCAACGGACAAACAAATCGAATTCAAGTGTCAACCACTCTCAAAACAATGTCTCTAGTAGCATCAAACCATTTCAATATATAATCAGCCTCGTAAAATCGAGTGAATACAATCACTTATATGTGTATCGTCTTAAGATGTTCAAAAACCAGTTTGATAGCTAACTATAGATGGAAAATTTGATCAATCCTAACAAACATACATGAATGCTAAAGTGGTTTCATCAGAGTCCAGAAATTGAATCCAAGTGTCGGACTCAAAGGACAAACAAATCGAATTCAAGCGTCTAGACGAGACAGAAACATAGAAGAACACTAATAACCTAATTATGATCGAGAAAGAGAGACAAAAATCATCGCTTCAGGAGGTCCATCCAACCTTCCATCCATTGATTTTTAAAGACTTTCCTTCGCAGACAGTATATATCCGTTTAACGACTCATGTTCAAACTAAAAAAAAAGCTTGAAGTAAACGATGCACTAAAGCAAAAAGAGAAGCAAAACTTTATACCGATTTTAGACTCCGATCCAGAGGATAAGATGACTGTTGCATCAGGCTGTTTAGATGCACTGCCAACAAGATCATAAGCTTTTCCTGCCGTATTCAAGCGAACAGTAAACAAATCAGAACTAGTTTTTTTTAATATCAAAACATCAATGTAAAAATTAAACTGAAAATGATAAAAAAATGTATAGTTCAGATATATCCTTAAGAAAACTAAGTGAGATCCATATAACATAAAATACCATTTGAATCTGTAAAACTGCCTAATTTTCCATCAGAATCGAGCTGAAGAGTTACTACTTCGCCATTAATTTCAGGTTGCTGCAACAGCCATAAGCATAACAAAATAAAAACATCGAAAATGCTAAATTAAGCTCAAAATAATAAAAATATTTAGAGAGAATAAGTAAAGCGTGAAGGAATTGAAAGAGATGAAACGAGTACTTGATGAACCGGCCACTGGATAAGGAAAAGCTCCGTAGAGTCCGTTAGTGTAAGATCGACGAGTTGTTGAGAAGAATCTTCTACGAATTCTGGTGGAGGTCTATAAGCGTTTGCTTCAGAATCCATTCTTTGCAACAAGCTGAATTCAGACAATCAGAGCTTTAAATTGGGAAACAAATCTATTTTTGGTCCAGTAAATTGTAAACGATAACAAAAACGAGCCAATTCGAATATAGGAGAGAGTAGCCGGTTAGGGTTTAGGGTTTGCTGATGGAAGGAGTTTTAAGTGAAATTGGACAGGGAATTTAATAAGAAATATCTGACGGATCATAATTTCTTCTCCTGTCATCTGACGGTTGAAATTAGTTATGAATATATATGCAATTTTTAATGGTTAAATACGTAAGTAATCCTCTTATTATAATTTTTAGGGTAAACTATGCATTTAGTACCAAAACTATCAGTTTTGATCAGTTTTAGTACCTAAATTTTCAATTTTTTAAATATCACACCCAACATTTAGTTTCATTTTATTGCCCCATCATTAAAAACTTAACGCGTTTAGTACCTAAATTATCAGTTTTGATCCGTTTTAGTCCTAAACTTTTATTTTTTTTCAAAACTTAACGTTAAATTTTAAGAGTGGTACTAAAATGAAACAACACTAAAGTTCTTAACGACTGGTACTAAAATGAAACAAAAATTAAACTTTAGGTATGATTTTAAATAAATTAAAAATATAGGTAATAAAATGAACCAAAACTGATAGTTTAAGTACTAAACACAAAATTTATCCTATAATTCTTTTAAGTCCACTAATTATAAAAAATTGTAAACAAATCCCTTTATTTTAAAAAATAATAAATTAATTAATTTTTTCCGTTAAAAATTAACGACGACGTAACTAAAGATGTAACTAGAGATGGACAATTAACATGAATATGACAAATTCCGACCCAAAAAGAAAACTTGGGTTAATTTTCGAATCAAATTCGGTAGAACAAAAACCCAACCCGACACATGAGAATCCTTAATATATTGCATTTCAATACCATGATAAAAACATACTTTTACGGATAGGATACAAACTAAGCTAGTGAGCATATAACATTTTGCTGAAAGGTGAAATGAAAGAACAAACAATCAATGGCTAGGCTAGTGAGTCTCTTCCCATATAATTATTAGCCGTAAACAATCAAAATGTCAAGATTCTGGCATTCACGAGCAAAGAAACAAGCCAAACGGAGAGTGAACTTGAAACCACCCTCAATTTAGACAAAAATCTCACCTGGAAATTACCAAAATATATTGTACAAAATCAAAGCATCTATCTACCCTTCTTTTTCGTCTAAATATATTTCAATCCGGAGATGTATTGCTGTCTAGATATTACATACTGGGCCACGGAATAAATAATGCCTAACAATCCCAAAACCCTAATCTTGACCAAATCCGATATCACGATCGATGGGAGGTTGAGGGGCAATGTTAGCAGAGGCATAGAATCTGTTGTCTTCGAGTACGCCCAGACGAATCGGTTGAATAGGATGTGGCTTGGGAATGTAAGGATCAGGAGGGCTAGATTCTTGACCGCGAAGAACCAACCGGGACCCCCGATTTCCATGCCCCACCCTGCATTTCCGTGCCAGACATCTTCCCATATGCTGTATAATGAGGTTATGACCAAATATACTGATATGGCGACTGTAACGGGGAAATACCTCTGTTTGTCCCCGAATCCGGCAACAAAATCGGAGTCCTGATTGAGCAGCAGTAGTACTGGAGCCAGGAAGAATATTGTCTGATTTGAGCCGCCGGTGAGATTAACGTTTAGGATCAGGCATATGGCAAAGCACATCACGGTAGCAACATTACCAACAGCGGGCATCCATGCCCCTTCAGCAGCCATCCGTTTAATTGTGAAGGATGACATGGAAGAGGCACGGCGTTGTTGCATGAACCTCATTCGTGGAGGGAAACCCCCTGAATTGCTTTGACCAGACTGATTATGTCTAACTGGAGCCCTATCGAGAGTCTTTTCCCGTATAAGTGAGGCAAGTTCAAATTTTATTTCCAAAGCTATAAGCATAAATATTGCTGCATACAGACCGAGAAGAGATGTCCTGGCCCCCTCAACAGCCAGTAGAGTTGCAAGATTCCTCTCTTCCTCTCCGGTACCACCAAATTCGTTTTCTGCAAGGAAGCTTTTAATTCTCACTTGACCTTCCAATAGGTAAGTCACAGGAAAGAGAGCAACGAGGAGGGCAAACACCCATGGTAGGAGCTTCGTGCTGGAAGCAGATGGAAAATGGGTGAAGACCACAAAAACAGATCCGCAAACCATTGTTACAATGATGAGGACATGAAGGACAGCAGCCTGCAGGAAAAACTCAGCAGATATGTAAACACCGAGAGCAATACCCATCGCAATGGCATAAAACGCTCTCAACTCCACAATGTATTTAATGGGTATGACGGATGTCGCAGCAGCTAAAGTGAGAAGAATTGCCAATATAAGTAACCATGAAGGCCATGTTGGTTTCGACGCAATAAAGCCATATATGGAAATATCATCAGCAGACTGGCGTGCAGCTCTTATCATCTCAGATCGGTAAGTCCATGATAATGGAATTGGTGGTTGCATTAGGATAAAGAGGAGACCTGTTGCCACCACCAATAGAATGCATCTCTTTGCAGACTGCATAAACAAGAATGGAACATAATCAATACACTACACTTTCTATAAAGAAACAAAACACTGTCAGACTTTTTTTTAAGACAATTGAAGCATAAAACTGCCATAATTTCTTATTCATGTTCAAGAATCATCAAGCACTAGATCATCTATGGTATCCAACTCAATAAGATAAAGTCAAATATAGGATATTTTAATTTCTTTCCCTGCTCAATTATTAGTCAGAAGCTAGTCCGTTTAGAGCTTTAGGAGGAGAGAAGGTATTAGAAGCATGAATGAACATTAAACTACTTTTCTAATAAGAGAAACCTAGATTCTTTTTTAACGGATAACAACCTAATAAGGATATTTCATGACAAGATATGTGGGCAAAAACAGAATGTATCCATACCATGACATGAGAGAAATGCAGAGCAACTATGGGTACACAGGCCAATCCTGCCAAAAGGATACAAAAACCTAGAAGTAAACCATCAGATGGAGGTCTACCATGCAACCATTGTAATGCTTCAAATATTGTTTCACGGCAAAACCATACTGATAATGCAACCACAGCAGCATGTGCATAGCCTTGCCAGGCTTTCATCTTCGATGCTGTTCTCGACTTATCCCTTCAAAGTTTATAAAGTGAATAAAAAGAAAAGGAGGGGGGAAATTACATAATTTCAATATAAGAATTAGAGAGAATGAGAGATAAGGTGCTTACCTGTAAAGAAGCAATGGAGGTGAAATAGCTAATAAAAGGGTAGCCGATACCCACACAACAGATTTTGATGTAAGAAACAACATAGACAGCTTTGAGGAATAAAGGCAAGTCAAAATCCAAACCGCTTTGGGTCCAATTCGATGATCCACAGATAGTCGTCGCACAAGTGCAAATCCAATCATTGTTGTTAGAATAACCATGTAGCTTGGATACATTACATCATCATCCAATCCATAATAGTATATGCTTGAGTAACTGAAAAACCGATTCTCAATATGGCATAGTAGCAATGCGTGGCTGATCAAACTGACTTCAGTCAAAAAATGAAATTTTGATGGAAGAAGTGCTAAACCTGGAATAGCAATGGCTAGAACAACATCCGCAACAATTAGCTTACAAAATGATTTCAGGGACATGCCTGCCAACCATATATTTAAGTCCCAGAAATTATGCATCACAAACCACATGACCATCAAGCTCCCAAGCACAAAGAAGGCAAAATACGATGGGAGGCTCTTCTTTGTAAAGAAACGAGCTAAGTAAAAGCCAGCAACTGAAGGTAATGGAATAAACTGCAAAATAAAGTAAATACCACTAAAACTTCTAAACATTAAAATAAGAGTTCCTTTCCTTTTCTGTCCTATCTTTCGATAAAATTCATTATATGACAGCACAAGCTAAGAATAACAATTATCAAAGAGAGATTCAAATGTTTGTAACAAACACAACATGCAACACTCGTGGCACATTTTTTATTTTGAAAAGCATAGTTTTACTAGTATGTAAATTCAAATATGAACTTTTGTGAAAGAAGAATAAAAGGGAATAAGCATAGTAAAGTCTGGTATCCCTTACCTTGCAAATGACTAGTTCAAGTCTAATTAGGATAAGACAACCACGTAACAAGAAGATAGATCGTCCTAGGCATTTGTCAAACATCCTTAAACCCTATAAAACTAACTAAAATTTGGAGATTCACTTTGCAACTATAACAAAACAGAAGCCAACCTCATCTTCGATATCATCTATTTTGCCTCACAATTAATGGAACAAGAACCAAGATTCAAGAAGTAACCATTACAGAGCCAAATCCAAGCTACCATTTTCACAGTGTGATTCACTGCAGCCTCAGAAAATCTAGTAGAATGAGTAAATCACTAAAGAAGAACTATATTATCTTCTCATGCAAAGTAAAGTTCTACTGTAGAGTTTCTAAATTCCAACTTCCACAAGGAAGTGCACAAGACAGCATACCGTATTCAAATGCTATTTTCCAACTTGCCATGCTCGTCTAAATACACTTTAGGAGACAACACACAGTGAAACATGACCAGTGGGCAAAACAAGTGAAGAATAAAAACAAAATAAATACCCTGTATCATGTTGTGCATAAGAACAGTTACTAAGTTGGTTCATTTCAAATAAGGCAACAAAAGATCAAACATACCAGTATTGGAAATCCAACCACAATTGCACCTGCAGCACTGACAACAACAGCCAAACAAGTGAAGGCCAATGAGCTAAATGCATCGGATACCATTCCCAGTGCATAAAAACCAGCTCCAGCAGCTCCTCCAAGCATGGTAGTGGTAACAAGAAGATAATTCAGTGGTGGCGGCACCTGAATGTACCTCCCAAAGGATCGAAACACAACTCTAATCTCAAGGCAAACCACAACAACAATCAATGCAATCGCACCGTTGACCAACTGTATGCTACGCAGCTGGAGGGGATTTTTCGTGACCCACCACAATGCCCCTCTTGTCGAAGCATATAATTGGAACAAGAATGGAATAAAGAATAGAAGCAGCAAATCACTGATGGAAGCAGCAGATGAGAACATCACAGAGTAATGTGAAG